GACACCTCCCACTGTTGTCGCTGGCCCGCCGTCAGAACAGAGCCTGTCGTGTTTTGCTTCCCGGAGGCCTGGCATAGAGCACACCCCATTGTCCCCCGCTTCTAACCATCTCACCACGTGGCCCCGTGTCAGGGCTCAGGTACCCAAGGGGAGCTGCAGTTCTCTGAGCTCATCCCGTTCATGGTGGATGCCCAGGGGAGGAGCCCTGGAGAGCGGAAGCCAAAAGGCGGGTGGAGATGGGAGGAGAGGAGGGCATCCCGCAGCTCTGGGGAGACACGGAGGCCGGCGGTCCGCGTCGCCGGAGGTGTTTTAAAGGGCGTTCGGGAGGCAGCACACACGTCGAGCGTCCCCTCTGACCAGCATCGTTCATCCCCGCTCCTGCTCCATTCGTTTTGGAAGGGGGCCCCAGTTCGGCATGAAGAGATTTATCAAACAGTAGTGCTCGGAGCTGTTGGTCTCCGTGCCATCTGGACAGACTGTTCCCTACTCTGTGACAACAGCAGGGGGAATGATTTATGAGGCCCCACGGCTCCACCCCCTGGGCATGGTAAAATCTGAATGGCTTTTGTTCTCCGCCACGAGGAGCGAGATTTTGCCTGTGTTAACGGACGCGTGAGCTGGGGTCCGCACTGAGGTTCGCCTGACTCCGTGAAGGTGATGCCCAGACCCATGGCAGCCAGGACTGGGCTTCGGGTCAGCGTCTACTTTACAGTAACCCAACCACAAGGAGTAACAGAAAAAGTCCCAGATTGGGGATAAGGAGCGAGCTATGGGGCTTCATTTTTTTTTTTATTTTTTATTTTTTTGCCTTAGTTCTATGACCTACACAGTGGAGATAATGATTGCTCCATCTGTCCAACTCACGTGATTTTTTTGGGAGGTGCTTGTGACATCATAGATGCAAAGTGACTTCGTGAATTATGCAGCCCTTGACAGGCATTGAGGATTTAATCCAACACACATTTATTGAGCAACTGCTGTGTGCTATGCACCTCTCTGGGTGCCGCGATGGACACGGAGGAATCGAACACAGTCCCTGCCTTTGGCGAGCTTACAATCTAAGGACGGTCCTAGGACAAGCGCACGGTAACTATAATACAAGGCAGAGCACGGTACGTGCCGTGACAAAGGGACAAATAAAGTGCTACGGTGGTTCAGCGGAGCGAGATCCCGGCGGTCGGCAGATCAGGGAGGGCTTCCCGAAAGAAGCAGTTTCTGCGTGGGCCTCGAAGGGAACAGAAGAGAACATTCCAGCAGGTGAGAACAGCAAGACCAAAGGCACAGAGACCGGAAAACCAGGCGTCCCTTCACAGGAATGGCGACAGGGCGCAGAGGAAGCATGGGGCCTTATCGGGCAGCGTATTAGGTCGCGATGGCTTGCGTGTTATTTGGGCCAAAGTTTGCGAACGGCTGGAGATAAAAATCGCTGTGCATGTTCAGGATGAACTGGACAAGGTGCAAGTGTGCCCGGAGGAAATGTGCCGACGTTGCCCACGTGACAGGAAGGCCAAGGTGGAGGGAGTGGCGAAGGAGTCCAGGGAGAGGAGTCGAAGATGACTTTAGGGTCTCAGAACTGGGTGGCCGAGAGGCTCACGGGTCCTCCGGAGGCAGGGGAGGCAGCGATGATCGCGTCGGCCGCGGACGTGCTGAGCGTCGGGGCCGCCGGAGCGGGCGGGGTGCATGCCCAACGGGCAGCGTGCAGTCCGAGCCTGGGACGCGGGGAGAGGCTGGGCTGCAGGTGGACCCAAAGGAGGGGTGAGGTTGCCGGTGGAGCGCGCGGGGACCGGCCGTGTTACGGGAGAGGAGGAAAGGGAAATAACGGTCAGATCCACCTCCGCTTCTCTTCAGATCAAGGTAAAGGTGTCAATAAATAAACCATAAATACATAAATTACCAAGGGTATAAATAAAACAAGAGGTGTTGGGAAGGGAGGAGAAAAACCACAATCACATGGCCTCTAGGGCACCAGAGAGACGGGGAGTGTCCAGCAGGGGTCACTGTAGAGATGAGAAGGGGCCTTTGGATGTGGCCAGGTGGAGGGTGCCGAGTTACTGGTCCCAGGGGCAGGGAGGCCGAGTGGGGGGTCAGGAGGGAAGGCAGGGTGAGTCCGGAGCCCCCGTCCCAGGTCTGGTGGTGCAGGGAAGGTGAGCGAAGAGGCCACAGCAGCCAGGATGGAGGGAATGAGCACGAGCTGCTGGACAGAGAGGTCGGAGGCGGCACAGGAGTGGCCGAGGGTGTCGGGGAAAACAGCATGGGCAAGGGGATGGATGCCGCCCCTTCAGAAACGGGGGGAGGCAGGCAGAAGGGAGGGAAGACCTCCTTTTAGCCAGCCCCATCTCCAGCAAAGGAGGCAGACGGTACGGGTCACTGGGGGCTTGCAGAGAGTGGAGGAGGTCTGAGGGGCTTCAGGACGCGCGATGGCAGGACAGCTGGGAAGGTGACCGACAGGGTCACCCGGCCGAGGCTGACTGACCGCCTGTTCCCGGGATGGCCGTGGCCACTGGGCACAGGGGACACGTACAGGCTAGCTGACCTATGCCAGGTGGGGCAGTGGGATCTCATTCAGACTGAGCTGTCGAGAGGACCCGAGGGCCGGGGGGCGGTGACGTGTGGATCATCTTGGGTCCCCAGCCTTGCTCTGGCGGGGAGCTGCTGGCAGGCTGTAAGGGCTTCTCCACTTCAGCCCCCATCCGTTTCAGTTTCGGGAACCAGGAAGGGACAGAAAGAAAACCATGCTTTCCAAAGAGCTCCGGCTCGTGAACCGCCGGACTGTTCTAGAATCCAGGGCCTTGGCTGACCGGCCGAGGCCCTGCGGGCAGTCCCGCCCGTCCCCCGGGGCACTGCTCCGCTAGCCGCAGAAATCAGACGTCTCCCAGGGCCTCTGAGATCCTCAGGATGGAAGGCCCCGGAGAAGTGTAAAATACGGTACCAGTCATTCCCACTGCTCGCGATGCCCGTCCAGACCACTTTGCTCCCACGGAGGCGGTTAGGGACCGTCGCCTTTTTAAATATTCACTTTGTAATGCAAATCCCGCATCTCAGACTCCAAGAGCAGCGAGGACAGAGTCGCAGAGGACGCGGAGTCGTCATCGTGGTTCGCGGCGACAGCATCCACGTGTGGGGTAGGTGGTTCCGCACATCCTCCTGCTGCCCCCGCCCGCTTCCCGTCAGCCATTGCGGTAGACCAGATGTCCCGTTCCGAACCGTGGTTCGCGGCGACAGCATCCACGTGTGGGGTAGATGGTTCCGCACATCCTCCTGCGTTAGACCAGATGTCCCGTTCCGAATTGCCACTGATTAGTTATGTCCGGTCTCCTATGCTTGGGAAGCAGATCTTGATTACTTTTCTTAACTCCCTTCACCTTCAAGATAACGGTTTTATGGTTTTTGTTTTTGTTTTTGTTTTTTTTACGTATCTTTCAAATACATTTTAAAACGCAGTTATTTATCAGGCAAGGGGCTCCCTCTAACACATCAAGCTGGCGAATGCTTGTCGATGCGCGACTCGATTCCAGCCCCTCGGTGATTGGCACGGAGCCCAGATGTCTCCTGGGGAGATTATGTCCAGCGTTTGAATACTGGATTTGGCTTTGGGTTAAAAAAACAAACAACGTCTTAACCATTTATCTTAATGGGGGGTGGGGAAGGGAGGAATCAATTTTGCGAAATTCTAAAATCATTGCGCCTGGAGGAGAAGGGGCTGGAGGTGGATGTTGGCAGCTCGCCCCGCAGAGTTGAAAACCTTTCGATGTTGGAGCTCAGTGCTCGACAGTGGGACCATCAGGAGAGGAGAGAGACAAGAAAGTGACCGTCACACGGCGGTCCGGCCGCGGAGGCCTGGCCGCGTGCGCAATGCAGACAGCAAACGGAGCGGTCACAGAGAAACGAAGCCAAATGCGTCCCCTTCTTTGAGGCCCCACACTCCAGGGCGCCAGAGGCACCCACAAAGGCAATCGTAGGCATGTAAAAAGTGATGACATTTATCTCGGCAGCGGCCCTTCGAGCTTTCGCTGTAGCTCCCCCGGTGGAGGAGTGAACAGTGCCATCGCTCAGGTGACATTCTACCAGGGCAGGAAGGATGCCGACCCTGAGGGTGTCATCCCGGGGTCCCTTCCTCCTTGGCGGACTCAGGCTGCTTTAGAGAACACCCGCCACACACACATTTGAACACTCTTCTGCCTTGTTTTGGGGTGCAGGGCTGACCCTCTGGTGGAAGGTCGTACTTTTTCAAGGATGCCATCCGGAACCTGCTCCCCGCCCCCCACCAGCTCTGCTGTGTCCTCCGCCTGTGCCACCCCAGGCTCTCGGTGGTTCTCGCCAAGCCAGAGTATGAACTGTCCGTCGTGTCTTCCCTAGCCTTCTCTCTGTTGCCATGGAGACCCTTCTGGCACAGGCGGCTCAACCACGGTGCATCCCTTGGGCAGTTAAAGTCTTAGTTCGTGGAAAGGCCCTCAGCTCCGACGCGGCCCCCGCTTCTCGGTGTCCTTATGTTCCTTTGCTCAGCGGACCGCTCCAACCTCCGTCTCTTCCCGTGAACAGCACCATTTTGGGCTCGGGTCAAATTGTCCCCTCTGGGTCTCAGCTCACCCGGAATTCACATTTCTCAGAGGCCCGGGGCGGCTGCCACTCTAACCATCCATGAGCCCAAAGATTCCCTCCAGCCCAAGGAGGCAGCTGGTCGTCCAAAGTCATGGGACCGGCTTCTTTTCATGCCGAGTCCTTCCGCCCCCAAAGGTGGACCGAGTCTGAATTCTGGTGGGTTCTCCACACCTTCTTCCTGTGGCTTATCTGCCTAATGCTAGATGAACACCACACAGTTATAAATACTCAGGTCAATATATATATGCAGATATAGATATATATATTCTGGTCACTGTTTTACACTTGAACAAAGAAAACCACTAGCCTGCTTGTTCTATATTTTGTGCCACCCCGACTCCCATCTGCCCGTGGTGTAGCTGGCAGGAAATGTGAGCCACTGAGTTCCCCCAGGCGCCCAATTACGTGGCCCCGTCGCACTGGCCGACAGTCAGTTTCAAAGCCCCCTGCTCGTGCAGGCTCTTCAGGGCCTTGAATTCCAAGGGCATGGTGTGGGGGCTGGCCTGGGAGGTGTAGCCGTACTTGAGGCTGTCGTAGTAGTGGTACTTGACGGGGTTCTGGTTCTGATCGAGCGGGAAGGGCCAGAAGCCGTAGAGGTAGATCTGGTTGCAGAAACGTGTGGCCAGGGTATACATCAAGAGGCCGGTGGTGGGTCTTTTGATGTGGACTTTGTTGGTCAGCCAGTATCTGAAAAAAGGGAGAAAATCCAGGTGACAAAAGAAACAAGCAAACAAACAAACAACAACAACAACAACAAACCCCCCATGAGTTTGTGAATTCTCCTTTCCAGGCAGAGAGAAACGTTCTCCTACCCCACAGCCTGCCTCCTGCCACTCTAGGACCTGTGGAGACCACTCGAGTGACTGATTCCAGGTCCCCTTCACAGAGGACTGACGGCCACCACTTATTCAGCAGTGGAGCTGCCCCTGATGCCACGAGCTTTCACACTCACGACTTAATGAAAACAAGACACAAGATTGTAGTAGATAGATGCGGATGCAGAAATGAGGCTCAGAGACTAAAAGTGGCAGGGCCAGGACTCTCCTCCAAGACTTTGTGATTTCAAGTCCATGTTCGTTCCCCTTCGTAATGCCATCTAAACAGGGGAGGGCGGCCGGTCTCGTGGACTGCATAGGACTACCCCATGTCACCACCTGCTTAGTCCCAGCTGATACACAGGAGGCATGGTGCAGCTGGCAGGGGGTGGGGTGCTCGATGCTCTAGTTGGGGCTCATCAGAGAAGAAGCCCTCTCTTAGACCAACTCTGTACTCACCACGCTCAGTGAGGCTAAGCTGGGCTTGGGAGGAGCCTGGGGGCAAAGGCAGGGAGCGAGCACAGAGAAGGATGAGCCCAGAAGAGCGGCGGCTGCTGCTAAGTTCCTCCCATGCATGCCAGCAAAGCGCTCATCCGCCGTGGCTTAACCACCTCCAGTGACAGGGGGCTCACCCCCTCACGAGCTGGTCCAGTGCATTATCAGCTCTAGCTCAGTCGTTCTCAGCCTTGGCTGCACGCCGGAGCCACCTGGAGCTTTAGGAAGACCGATGCCTGGGTCCTACCTCCAGGTGCAGCCTGCACGTGGATTTTTCAAATTCCCCCAGCCTCCCCCCGCCCCCGCCAAGTAATTCAACTATTTAGCCAAGGCTATGAACCTTGGGTTCTGCCAAAAGAACCCAAGAATGAGGCATATTTGGATAAAAAGAGGGAAAAATAGTGAGCGTATGGAATAGTCACAGAGCGTTAAAGACGATTGGGCCTGGAGAGCTCGTCCAGCCCCGTGGCCTGGCAGGGATGCACCTGAGTGAGCTGGGGGTCGGGCCGTGTGTAAGGAAAGCTGACACCTGGCCTTGGCATTGCCAGGGCAGTAGGGAGGGGCGGAGACTGTGGCATCAAAGGGGTACCCATTATGGTGGTGTCAGAGTTTCTGATTTTTTTCCGAGTAACAGAAATCCGGATTTTTATGCAAATTTTCCAGTTTTTTTTAAATGTCGACAACTCATTTTTAAAAGCTCTAAAAACACCCTGTGAGGCCTTTTGGGGTGAGTCAGACAGACCACGCCTGTGGTCACCCACGGGTGCCCCCTTTCAGACACGGGGGTCCAGGGTGACTTCCCATTGGGAGGCAAACTTCTCAAGCAGCCGGTTAGACAGAGCTGGTAACATGCAGCCTCCCCACACCCGACCCCCGGGCCGATTTCACCCCACAGCAACCCTGGGACCGTCAGGGCTGGGAGTGAGCTGGCCGCAGCCGCTAGCGGCCCCGTCCAGGGCCATACGAGCCCCCGGCAGCGTCTCCGTATGATAGTGTCTCCATAGGATGGCCTCTCACCGACTGTTCAGTCCCTGAGCCGATTCAAATCAAGCCCCAGCACAGGCCGCATGGCATCTTAGAGATTCGTGGCTGGTCTGTTTTCTGAGAGGAGGCCTTAGCCGGGGGAGGCTTGCAGAAATGCATTTCTTTGCAGGCGGTCAGAGCTGTGGCCAGAGAGGGGGTGGGGGGCTTTGTTCAGTGGTGAACCATCCAAGGAGCTCGTAGGTGAGGCTGAGGTCACACAGACACACGCCGTGCCCTCCCCGGTGACGTGTTTTTCCCCGTCGTGTCCCTTTGGTGAACCCTTTTTTTCTCCCCACCCCGCCACCCCCCGAGAACTGAGCGCGTGCGTCACGTCTTCCCAGAGATGTTCCCTTTGCTCCGCCCTCTTCTCCTCCAGCTCATAACGACTCAGGCCCTTCCGCCGGGGTCGTCACGAGCTGCGTTTCTCCTTCTCCCCCGGGGCCGACAATCCGTGACCGTGCGAGTTGGTCTCCCACACGGAACTAGGCTGCAGTCTCCTTGGGAGCAGGCGCCGTGCCCTCCCCTCCTGTGTAGGGAGTTCGAAGGCAGCTGGCTCAGTGCCCAGGGCAGCCAAGGCGCTGTGACAGACAGGAGCACCGAACAAATGCTCCTCATGCGTCTCCCAGTGTCCCTCGTCACTGGGCTGGGGGGTCACGCGACCAGTCCCGGCCAGTGGGCTTGGACAGGGACTGTGTCCCTGCTGGGCCGACGTTGCTCAGGCTGTCCCCATGCTTTCTCGTCCCCTGCCTTGGAGAACATCAAAGCCACTTATGAAAGCCATTCAGGTCAGCCTGAGACGGACGAGTCCCAGATCCCAGAGTCCCTGGTTGGAAGAGAGCCCCTGCCAACCGACGTC